CACACACACACGCACACACACACACACTCTCACACACACACGCACACACACACACCCTCTCACACACACACACACACACACACAGCAGTATTATATATATATATATTTTTTTTTTTTGTGCACCGTCCCTTTAAATATCCTCAGCATACAGATCACATGTTCATTAGTCCTTCAGTCTTTATGAAAGATTCTGTTCAGTGTGTTGTCAGTTAAACTGCAGCTCGTGTGTCACATGCACTGATGCCAGAAAACCTCTGAACACTGAGTGTGAGGAGTCTCATTACAGACTGAATGTGTCTCAGAATGGATTCAGTCACTGTTTGAGGAAAAAGCAGCATGTTACAGCTATGAACCTAAAAAAACTACAGCAACGAGTGTCACTCATGAAATAACAAGTGACTGTCATTTCATATACAAAACCATTTGGCATCAGTTTTTCTAATGTTTTTGAAAGAAGCCTCTTCTGCTCATCAAGGCTGCATTTATTAGATCATAAATACAGTAAAATTGTGAAATACATTTTTATTTAAAACAGCTGTTTTCTATGTGAATATCTGCTGAATTTTCAGCATTAGGTACACATTTTGCAGTTCCAAACATGTATAACATCATTTAATCATGTGTTTTAAATTGACCCTGCAGCACCATCTGGTGGCTGAACTGAACTACTGCAACAGCATCCGTGACCTTCATATGTGGATCTCAGAATGGACGAGTGACGGGTGAACCGAACTTTTCGAAGCTTTGAATCAATTGAACAAATGGCTTTGCAAAATGATTCACTGATTCGAAGCGACACCTGCTGGTCAAACTGTGTAATTGCAACATAAAACTCAAGCCAGACGTGCATAAAAACACCTTTTACGAACCAATTGCATGTTTTATCGAGAGAATAGTACATTAAATGCAATTAACCAATCATCTAATACCATTAAATAAGAAGTGTCTGTATAATACGTGTTCTTTTATTCGTTTGCAGGGCTTGTTTTGTTTGTTGAGCTCAACGGGCCAATAAGAAACTATTAATTACTACTATTCCTTTTAATTACAGATTTCTCAGATGTCAAATAATCCGAAATCAGGTAAAAAAAAAAAAAAAAAAATCGTTGAAATTTCAGTTTTTTTTCCCCAAACTGTGAAATCACGTGACTTTGGCGGTTTGATTCGCATGAATCAAATGAATCGCAAAGGATTCGAAGCTTCACGAAGCAGTGCTTCTGCTAGTATGGACTGTGATTTCATCTTTATCTAATAAATAGATCAATCAATTTCAACATACTGTAATTCATAAAATTAATATACAGCATCACAAATCATAGTATAGATTAAAAACTCACTTATTAAAGCATTAAAATAATTTACACGCATTTTACACTCACAAATGTGCATGAAGAAAAATTTATATACAGTATCTACCGAAATGCCGAGTTTTTAGTGCAGTGCAAAAAAACTCTCAAACACAAAAACCAAACGCATGTGAAATACAACATATTCTTTTATTATTGTATTATATTGATAAATGTCCATCTGAGGGGAAAAAAGGAAAATACAACAAGAAATCAAGAATAAACTGTAATATCAATAATAAAATATGTACAAGAGGAGTATAGCATTTATTAACACGATCTTTCCAAACTCTCTCTATACAACCAAAGGGTTAAAAGTTCGTCCCGTTGTGACGTCACCGTCCGCTCGTCCAATCACATCGCATCAACATTCCCTTTCGAATACTCTGATGTTTCCGGTGAGCACGTCAATCGATCAGTGACCAAATAATCAAACCGCGTTGATCAATAGCACTTTAGTATCTTCAGTAGCCGAGTCAGCCGTACAGCTCCCATCTCTGACCAGCAGGTGGCGCAAACTAAACTCTCCCGCACGACTAGTATCACAAATATTGGTTAATCTTCACTGCTAGCTTCGCAGGTTAATATACACTGTATTCTGGTTCATAAATAGATTGTTGATCAATACTTTAAAACTATACATATTGAGATTCTTTCTTCTATATCTAAAATTAATACGCACCAAAATGAACGAAATCAGAAAATATATTTACTAGTACGAAAACACGGTCGCGGTTCCCTAGCAACGTCCCAAACCAGAGCTTAACGTCAAGCGCGCCTCGGATTTAAAGGAATAGAACGCAAAAATGAAATAAAGTAAAATAGAATAAAAATATTTAATCACCATCATGTCGATCACATACAGTTTTTTTCCCTCATGAGACACTGCAGTAAATGTAAAAGAGCAGCTCAGACATTCATTGCTGTGTCAGAGAAAGTCACATGGATTTGTATGGAAGGCCGTTTTCGCAATGGCATATATATATATATATATATATATAATAAAAAGCTAATTGCAACTTTCTATCTCACAATTCAAATACAAACTCGGATTTCTGAGAAAAAAGTCGTAATTGTGAGATATAAACTCAGAATTGCGAAACGTAAACTCACAATTCAGATTTTTTTTCCTCAGAATTGCGAGTTTTGTTGCAAGTTGCAATTCTGAGTTTAATATATACTCTTAATATAGAAAACTAAGAATTGCGGGATATAAATTAGCAATTTTACACACAATTCTAAGTTTACATCATGCAATACGGACTTTTTTTCTTAGAATTTCGATTTTACATCGTGCAATTCTTTTTTTTTTGGGCACAGAATAAAAAAAATAAAAAAGGTAATTGCGAATTTTTATCTTGCAATTCGGATATAAACTTCCATGTCTGAGAACAAAAAAGTCAGAACTAAAGATATAAACTCCGAATTGCAAAAAATAAACTAAAAAATCTAAATTTTCCGTGCATTCTGATGGTCGAAAAAAAATTTTCTCGGAATTTTGATTTTACATCTCGCAATTTTTTTTTTTTTTTTGGCCACAGAATACATTTTTTTAAAGTAATTGTGACTTTTTATCACAATTTCGTTTTTAACTTCCACCACAGAATAAAAAATAAAAAAAGGTCATTGTGGCGTTTTATCTCACGATTTTAGATCTCACAATTCTGAATGTCCAAATTGTGAGAGATAAACTCAGAATTGTGAGAAAAAAAGGCCAAATTGTGAGAGAAAAATTCACAATTTAAAAAAACTGCGATGTAAACTCAAAATTCTGAGAAAAAGTCTGAATTGTGAGATAAAAAGTCGTAATAACTTTTTTTTTAAAATTGTGGCAGAAAAAAACTCGCAATTACTTTATTTCTTTATCTTGCGTCAGAAACAAGCTTCCATAGGTTTACATGACATGAGGGTGAGTAAACAGTGATGGATTTCATGTTTGTCTAAACTAGTCCTTTATCATCATTTGGTAGAGAAGCAAACTCGCGTCACTTTTCACAGACCTGAAGGAAACGCACAAACACTCCGCTCGTCTTCTAGTGCTCAAGTTAAAGGCAAACGATTCCCCATAAAAGCAGAAAATCTCTATCCTAGCAGTTAAAAACACACACGCACTTCCAGATAGTTCAAGTAATCACAGACAAATTCAAATAAACCAGAAGAGTTTCAAATAAAAAACCTTGACCTGCAGGAAACTCGGGTTACGGTCTGTTTGCAACCTCGGTCACCCGTCACACAATGATAAAAAACACTAGTATCTGCTTCAAACTATTACATATAAAATAGATTTCAAATCTAATACACAAACCACCACCTGTGCAGGTAGAGAAGGTGAGGATGACGTCAGAGGAACCAGATGAAGGTGTTTATGTACGTAACATAGCCGCTCGTCCCTTCCTGAAGCTAAATCCTACTGCATTTGGCATTACAGGCAAAACAAGTGAAAAAAAAAGGCAAAAAATAAATAAACATTACAACAGATTTCAGACAAATATAGACTTCCGAGTACAGCTTGTCAAAAACTGCAACACATTCAAACTATTATAAGACTTTTGCGCATTATCACTTTGACTAAGTTCAACGAATATTCAGAAACGGCTCTAAATCTAGTCAAATGATCGAGATTTTGTCTCAACATCACAATGTTGAGATGATTTCACAGAACAGTCGAGTTCGACTGCAAACCCTCAGGAGAAACTGCAGGTTTATGCGTGAAATAACAGCTTAGATATTAAACGTAGCACTGAATCGAGACGTGCGTCCTGATGGTGAACGGCTTTGGAGTGTTTAGAGTTGATCATCCAGGATGTATTTCACCACAAAATCACAAGAACGAAATAGGAAATTATGAAGAAAGAGTGAAGCCTGTTTTCAGATCCAATAGTTTGTTTAACATTCTGACATTTTATAAACAATGTCACAACGCAAAAAAAAAAGAAGCTTCAAACAGGCTTTACTTTCTTGATTTTGGGGTGAAATGAGCCGGCGATGCTTATATTTGGACACAAACGTAGAAATTTAGTACGTTTTCTGAGTTATGTTATATTATGTACAATTCTATTTAATTGTTGACAGGATCGTCCGTCAGACAAGAGAAGCATTAAATTCAATGCATTTCATCTGCATCCGATCAGGATTTTGACCCTGCGTGAGAAACTTAACCGAACTTTACTTTCCGTCCGAATAATTTGATGCATTTGGTGAGATGTAGAAATTTAGTAAGTTTTCTGAGTTATGTTATATTATGTACAATTCTATTTAATTGTTGACAGGATCGTCCGTCAGACAAGAGAAGCATTAAATTCAATGCATTTCATCTGCATCCGATCAGGATTTTGACCCTGCGTGAGAAACTTAACCGAACTTTACTTTCCGTCCGAATAATTTGATGCATTTGGTGAGTTTAAAACATCGACGGGGTTCGTTTTCCCTCAAAGAGGATCCGCGTTTTGAAGCAAAAGGCACGTCGTTAAAAAGGAGCGAACGCAAGACGGGAAATCCAGAGAGGCGGAGGAGAAGAGGAACTCAAGGAGAACTAAAACTACAGAAGTGTGGGAAGCACCCAACTTCCTGTGAGGCTGAACGGAGATGTTTGGAGCTTCCTCTGGCGTTCCTCCGTGTTTGTTGACTTTCCCTTGAGCACCCAGGCCTGCCCGGATCATCACGGTCTCGGCCCTCCCGTCCCGTTCGAGTTTGACCGCGCACGAGTTTGCGGAAGCAGTTTTTGGTCGGAGGTTGAAGGTCATACGAAGACTTTGGCGAGGGCGTCGGCTCCCGCGCTGCCTATGTAGCACTTGGTGGGGTGGAACGCCACATCGTTGATGGACTCGTCGAACTTCTTCCTGTGAGCCGTGAACTCCTGGATGCACGTCTTGCTCTCCATGTTCCACAGACGCACCGAGCAGTCGTGACCTGAGACATACCGCAACATCAGCTTATTGAACAGACATTACAAAAAAGTTGCTTTACATTTCATAAATAACTATAATAAATGGGTATTAATGTTTTTTAAATGAATATTGAAATATGAACCACCAGTAGGTGGCGTGAAGTCCCTGTGTTAATGAGTGATTCATTCAACTGATTTGTTCAGACGGCTGATTCATTCAGAAATGAAGCAAGTGACTGCATTTATGAGTCATTGAATCATTGACTCACTCGATTCGTTCAAACAGCAGATTCATAAGTTTTATGAATGTGTCACTGAATCAGACTCACTCGATTTGTTCAAATATGTGGATTCATTCAAAAATGAAGCAAGTGACTGTCTTTATCAATCAGTAACTGAATCATTGACTTGCTCGATTCGTTCAAACGGCTGATTTATTCAGAACTGAAGCAAGAGACCGTCTTGATGAATCAGTCACTGAATAATTGACTCACTCAATTCGTTCAAACAGCTGATTCATAAGCCAGTTACCGTCTTTACGAATGAGTCATTTAATCACTGACTCACCCAATTTGTTCAAAAAAGCGGATTCATTCAGAAACGAAGCAAGTGAGTGCATTTATGAACGAGTCGCTGAATCACCAACTCACTCGATTTGTTAAAATATGTGGATTCATTCAAAAATGAAGCAAGTGACTGTCTTTATGAATCAGTAACTGAATCATTGGCTCACTCGATTCGTTCAAATGGCTGATTTATTCAGAACCGAAGCCAGTGACTGTCTTTATGAATGAGTCACTAAATCATTGACTCACCCAATTTATTCAAAAACGTAGATTTGTTCAGAAACAAAGCAAGTGACAGCATTTATGAATGAGTCGCTGAATCACAGACTCATAAATGAAGCAAGTGACTGTCTTTATGAATCAGTAACTGAATCATTGGCTCACTCGATTCGTTCAAAAACATTTACAAGTGTTTGCATGACTTTGTTCAGCATCAGTCTGTAGAGTAAAGCTGATGTTCTCGAGTACTTACTACCAGACATCAGATAGAGACCATTGGGATCCACTGCAAGACTGGTGACAGCATCCAGATGAGCGACCATAGAGTGAATCAACTTGCCTGAGAAGAAACATCAATATATATGAATACAAACATTACAAAATAACATAAAAATCTAAATAATAAAAATAACAACAATAACTTTTCTAAGAAAAAAACATACACAGAATGAATGATAATAATTAATAATAATTTCAAAAGTGTTTTTTATTTCTTTTTTTAAAGTCGTCGCATAAGTTTTGGGTCAGTATGTTTTTGTTTGTCTTTTTAAAAAAAAAGAAATTAATACTTTTATTCATCAAGGACGCATTAAATTGATCAAAAGTGACAGTAAAGAAATTTATAATGTAACAAAAGATGTCTATTTCAAATAAATGCTGTTCTTTTGAACTTTCTATTCATCTGTGAATCCTGAAAAATAAAAATGTATCAGTTTCCACAAAAATATTGTGCAGCATAACTGTTTTCAACATTGATAATAATCAGAAATGTTTCTTGAGCAGCAAATCACATAGAAAATTGATATTTTAAATTCTAAAAATATTTCACAATTTTCACAGTATTTTTGATCAAATAAATGCAGCCTTGCAGAGCAGAAAAGACTGAAAGAAGAGACATTAAAAATCTTACTGTGTATAAGTGTGTATATATATACATATAAAATGCACATATGTGACTCAAGAGCACAAAAGCAGTGTTAAGTCGCTGGGGTATATTTGTAGCAATAACCAACAATACATTGTATGGTATTAAATGACTAATAGTAATCAACATAAAAACCAAAACAATATCAATAATCAAAGTACTGATTGAAATACTAATGATAAACAGTCTCTTGAGTTGAGTTGAATGTTAATATCTGTCGGTCACCTGTGTTGTTGTCGAAGAATCGGATGTGTCGGTCCTCTTGTGCTGTGATGGTGATGGGAAGCGTCGGGTGACTGAGCACTTTATTAATCTGACACGGCGCATCTGAACATCAAACACATCAGCGTCAGAGAGCATCATGGGACTTTTCCATTCACTCATGACTAAACTATTATGATTTCATTCATTGAGATTTCTAGAAAGGTCTTTTTTACGTCAAGCACCAATAAACTAAAAGAGATTATCTTAAAGGAACACTCCACTATTTTTGAAAATAGGCTCATTTTCCAACTCCCCTAGAGTTAAACAGTTGAGTTTTACCGTTTTCGAATCCATTCCGCCGATCTCCGGGTCTGGCGGTAGCACTTTTAGCTTAGCTTAGCATAGATCATTAGAAGAGTCATACAGAAGAGTCAAGTTCTAAATAGGAAAAATATAGAAACTCTTTGGTAATTTTTGAGCGAGATGCTAACGGTCTAATCAGATTCAATGATCTACGCTAAGCTACAGCTAAAAGTGCTACAGCCAGAGCCCATCGAGTCCTGTGGCTAAAATCACAGAAAGTGTGTGTGAAGTACCAGGTTTTCCGGCGGCTTGCGACTCGAGCTCCAGCACCAGCTGTCGGGTCTCCATGTTGAAGATGCCCAACCTGCCGTTAGTGAAGGCCGTGACCATGTGAGCCGGATCACTGCAGACCAGATCCACCGACGACGGGACGCCCAGCTCTGAACCGCACAGAAAACAACAGAAGGAGCTCATTCATGTGTTTGTGCTTTTCACAGCTGAAATCATCAATCATCAACCGACAAAAACAACCAAACAATTCATAAACTCAACTCAACTCAAGCTAAATTATTTTTTTAAACGGATGATTTTTAAACTGGTCTTTTTTTAGTTTTTTGTAAGAATATTATTTTGGGGTTTGTTCATCAAAAAACTCAAAATCAAAAATTCATCAAAAAAACAAAACAAAACAAAACAACAAAAAAGATCATTAATTCATTTATTAAATAAATAAATATATATATATATATATATATATACACATACTATCTATATATCTATCTAGTAAAGGGGACCTATTATGCAAAATTAATGTGAATAATTACTGTATTCACAGAGACCAGAGCTATGTTGTTATTTTTATTCTTAACCCGAAAACGCTCATCATCTGTATAATTCATAAACGCACCTTTACGGCTTCTTAAAAATAAATAACGACAGCTCTGGTCTCTGTGAATACAGTCAGAGACAATGGCATAACAGGTGCTGAAATCATCTAACCATCATCATTAATTAAGTAATAAAACAACAAAAAGGATCATTCATTCATAAAAATATAAAATGAAATACATTTTGTAAACTGATGTGCGTTAAATCATTCTTTAGTTTTTAAAGACTCATTTTGGAGACATTTCATCATGAATGATAGTAAAAAAACAAATAAAACAAACAAAATACTACAAATTATATATTAAAATATTATATATAAAAAAATTATATAATATTATATATAAAAAAACTAATAAAAAAACTGAAATAAAACAAATTAAACCTAAATGGTAATATATTAAAAAAACTATTAAAAACCTGAAATAAAACTGAATAATAATTTTTAAAAAAACCTAAATAGTAATATTTAAAAAACTAACAAAAAAGTAAATACTGAAATAAAATAAATTAACTAATAAAAAACTGATATACTGTAAATATTGTTTAACTTTAATTTATAAAAAAAAATTAAAAAAAAAGACAAAAGCACATACAATTATAAAAAAAACAACAACAAAAACAAAGTTTTTAAATTTAATTGAAAACAAAGAATAGAAATAAAATCTAGTTTAAAATATGAATCAAACCCCTAAATCATTAAAGTAATAAAACAACAAAAAGGATCATTCATTCATAAAAAATAAAATTAAATAAATGAAATAAATTTTGTAAACTTTTGTAAACATTTAGTTTTTTAAGACTCATTTTGGAGTCATTTCATCATGAATGACAGTTAAAAAAATAATAAAACAAACAAAATATCACAAATTATATTTTAAAATATTAAGTAAAATATTTTTTGTAAACTGCCGTGTGGTATCATTCTTTAATTCTTTAAGACTAAAATAAAAAATAAAATAAATTCTTGTAAACTGATGTGCGTTAAATCATTCTTTAGTTTTTTAAGACTCATTTCATCATGAATGACAGTAAAAAAACGAATAAAACAAAATATTAAATATTATATATTAAAATTGTTAAAATATTAAGTAAAATATTTTTTGTAAACTGCCGTGTGGTATCATTCTTTAAGACTGTTAAATTTGGGTCCATTTCAATGCTAAAATAAAAAATTAAATACATTTTTGTAAACTGATGTGTGGTAAACAAACAAAAGCTCATTCACAAGCATAGAATCTACTAAAATGTCTTGCAAACTGATGTGTGTTTGGGTGCAGTACCTTTGTCCTGGTTGAAGACGGCGATGGCGGGCGTCGTATCCGCTGCGCTCCAGAGCCTCACCGTCCCGTCTGCGGAGCACGACAGCAGTCTGTGATGAGCCGAGCTGTAGACCAAACCCCAGACTGCATCTGTGTGTCCAGACAGCGCCCCCCGCAGCACCGACGGCTCTACAGCAGACACAGACACACTCGATCACACACACACTCTCACTGAGACTCACTGGCGTCTGCAGGGGACAGGGACGCACCGTACGAGTCATACGGGTCGATGTTGGGGCTCGGTGTGTTCCAGCACTGAATGCTCGCGTCCAAACCGCCGCTGAAACACTGCTCACCGCTGGAGCTCATCACCACACACAGAACCGGACCCCTGAGACCAGACCAAACCAGACATACACCACATCAGACAGCTGCTGGTTTATCCCGGTTATAAGATCTAGACCTGATTCACACGCACCTGTGAGCCCTGAAGGTGTAGATGGGCTCCACATCCAGAGCAGTGCACCTGAAACAACAACAACACGTTACACTGACCGACACCAGCAAAACACAGGGCTATTATCTATAACTACGACATTTCTGAAATAAAGATGAAAGGAAAAAGTCTCTATTTTTCATTTAGCTTAAGTTGAGGCACCACAATTACTAACTTAATAATGGAACTGAAATAAAAACAAATGAAACATATATAGTACTATTAGACTAAATAAATAAATTGAAATATTAATATAATTTTTTTTATATAAAAATAAAAAAAACTGAAAAAGCTGAAATGAAAATGCTAAATTTAAGCACTAAAATTTCTAACTGGAAATAAAATAAATAAAAACTAATGAAATAAAAACAAACTAAACCGGAATAGTAATATTAAAAAAAAACTGAAATAACAATAAACTAAACCTAAATATTAATATTTAAAAAACGAATAAAAAAAACGCTGATAAAAAGCAAAAAAAAAAAAAGAAAAGAAAATGATAAAAAATAACCTAAATAGTCATATAAAAAAAACTGAAGTAAAAATAGAAATATTTAAAAACATGATAAAAAACTAAATTAAAAATAAATTAAACCTAAAAAAAAAAAAACCCTAATAAAACAAACTAAAATAAAACCGAAATAAAACAAATTAAACCTAAACGGTAATTTATTTAAAAAAAACTATTAAAAACCTGAAATAAAACTTTTGAAATTAAAAAAAATTAAAAATAAACCTAAATTGTAATATTTTAAAAACTAATCAAAAAGTAAATTAATACTGAAATAAAAATAAATTAACTAATAAAAAATAAAAAAACTATTAAAAACCTGAAATAAAATTTTTGAAAAAAAATAAATAAAAAAAAAATAAACCTAAATTGTAATATTTTAAAAACTAATCAAAAAGTAAATTAATACTGAAATAAAAATAAATTAACTAATAAAAAAAACTGATATACTGTAAATATTAATGTTTAACTTTAATTTATATATATATAAAAAAAATGACAAAAGCACATAAAATTACAAAAAAACAAAACAACTAAATTTAAATGAAAACAAAGTATAGAAATAAAATCTAGTTTAAAATATGAATCAAACCCCTGAATGAGGACCAGTGTAATGAGACTCTCACTTCTTGGTCGGGGCGGTTTTCTGCAGGTTCCACAGTTTGAGCGTGTGATCTTCAGACGCGGTGATCAGAACCGGCTCGACGGGGTGAAACGCAAGGCCGCGGATCGAATCGAAGTGGTTTCTGAGCGTGAACTTGGGGTTCCACGTCTTCCGCAGGGCGTCTTTATTATTAGTGATCTGAGAAACACATTCACAAATACAGTACATTTCTGAAATTAATACCAGCTGTCATTTTAATATCTATTCATTGACTCATTATTCAATCAGACTATTTGTGTATTAACTTAAAAAAATGCCATTTTTGACATAGTATCAAATACTATATATATATATATAAAAATCAGCATACTACAGATGCAAACATAAATTCACTTAATTAAAATATTAATAATGTTTTGCTTAAATAGTTTTGGCCGAGCGCCACGGTTATTATAGTTAACTAAAATTACAACTAAAACCATAAAACATACTTGAAAATAAAATAAACATGAAATAAAATAAAATATCACCTAACCGCTTTCATTATGATTAATTATAAACATGATCAATCTGGTAAAAGTTTTACATTTTTAACAAACTAACAATCATCCTATAAACCCATTATAATAAATGTTTCATCTTAGTTTTGTCTTTATTTATGAGAAATAAAATAAAAACAAAATAGCAAGAGAACTAAAATTAAGAAAACGATAATATTTTGAAATATTTTATTTTTATATTTCCGTTTTCATTTTAATTTTTACTAATTTCGTTGTTAGTTTTTTGTTTTTATATTTTATATAATATATATTTTTAAATATATAGTTTTTACGTTTTAAGTACTTCAACAAAAATAAGAGATCTTGCCTTTGCAACAAGCTGAAATAAGTTTACTTTTTAAATTAAATCTTTAACTAAATTTATGTATTTATTTAAACTTTTAAATTAAAATGAAAGTGGAAATTATAAAAATAAAACCTGATATGCATCATGATATTTACATATATTATAATATACAATATGTGAGCCTGCAGCACAAAAGCAGTCTTAAGTCGCTGGGGTAAAAATAATAAAAACTATAATAGTATCTCAAGGATACTAAAATAACACAGTTTTTTCTTAATATTTTGAAATAGATTTAATTTTTATATTCTGTTTCAATTTTAATTTTAGTACATTTTTAGCAATTTAGTTTTTTTTTAAAATTATGTCTATATAGTTTTTTTTTGTTTTAGTTATTTTAGTACTTCAACTTTAAACAAAAAATGAGAGATGTTGCCTTGGCAACTAGCTGAAATGAAACAAGCTTGTGTTTTTTACACTTCATGTGTATTTGGCTTCCAGTAATGAGAATGTTTGTATCGTGTCTGGACTCACGTCGTAGGACAGACTCTCGGCCTCGTTGGCCACGGTGAGTCCGGCCAGCTCTCCGAGACCCAGCTCGCTCTCCAGCGCCTCGTCTGTCCCCATGATGAAGGACTTTCCCGAGGACGGGGGGAACGTCAGCGCTTCGACTGAGAAACACACACACACACACACACACACGTCAGCACACAGCAGCGGCTGCAGAGGGCTGAGCCGAACCCTGAGTGTCAGAAGTACCCTCGTCGGTGTGTCCCAGCGGGGGCTCGTTGAGGCGGGGCAGGCTGGGACGGACCGGAGGAGCCACCGGAGGCTGGATGCACGACAGATCCTCCGCGTCTCGCAGGGTAGCCAGCATGTCCTGCAGCTTACAGCGGTTCGGCCCTGAAACACACCACACTTCATCTGAGAAACCCAGGCCAAATTCAGCCCACCTTCCACCACGAGTTTTATTTTTCAACATATTTAATCAATCAGTAAACAGAAGCATTTCTATTTCTATGCTTCGTCTAGGCCAGAGATGCCCAACTTAAAAAAATAAAAAAAGAAAAACCCTAAAAATTGATTGAGGTGAGACAAAAGTAAATGTTGCATATATTCAACTATATTATATTAAAATGTATTCAATAATTTTTTTTAATAATTAGACATTTTAATTTTTAAAAAAACCAAATTTACTTTTTTTTTTTTACAAAAATAAAACAAACTAAAAATGTAAATTAGAAATGGAGATATGCAGATTTTATTGCTGTCTAAATCAGTTTCAGCCGTTTTCTACCTTCAGATAATAAACACTGCTATTCGAGAATAAAATTGTTATATTACTATATTATATAAAAATGCATAAAATTTAATTTTTTTAATAATTAATTTTTTTTATATATACATATATATTTAGAATTTTAAAAAATTATTTCTATTTTTTTTAAACCAAATTTATATATATAAAAAAAGTAAATTAGAAATGAAGATATGTTGTTTTAATTGCTGTCTTAATTAGAATTTCAATGATTTTCTACCTCAATCCAGGAGAAAATCAGATAATAAACACTGCTATACAGAAATAAAATTTTTATATTAATATATATTATATTCACATTTATTAAATTGTATTTTAAAAAATAATTAAACAAAAATTTTAATAATTATTAGAATAGAATAGAATAATTTTTAATCAAATTCACTTATTTTATATTTCAATACAAAACTAAAAAACATGTTAAAACAAAAAATTTAATTAGAAATGAAGATATGCTTCAATGGCATGTTTTTTTCCCTTTTCTTGTCATAAATCAAAGGCAGTGCAAGTTTAGTATCATTGAGATACTATTTTAGTTTTTGTTAATATTTTAAATGAGATTTTTTCTTTATATTTTCTGATTTCATGTTAATTTTAGTTAAAGTTTTAGTAATTTTATTGTGTGTTTTAGTCATTTTTAGCATTTTTTTAAATTTTAGTACATCAAGTTACTAAACGAAATGAGACCAGCATTTTTTATTTTTTTACTTCAGTTAACATTTATTTTATTTCAAGTAGTGTAAATGTTTTTTATAGTTTTTTTTTTTAGATTTAGTTAACTACAATAATTGTGATCAAAGGTCATCAAAGGTCAACTCTGGGCATCTCTGGTCTAGGCTTTAACTGTATTTTCACGGTCTAGGAGGACTGTTTTCTGATGAAAGTGACAAAGTCAGAATGAAATGACAAAGAAATGAAGCACTGGAATAAAAATCAGAGAGGAAAAATTAGAGTGAGCATTGATAAAGTAAGCAGCGATCGGTGATGTCTCATCTGAACACTACAGTGGAAGCAGGGAAGGGGCGGAGCCTGGTTTATACACGCCCCCCAATCACAAAGGGGTGGAGCAACCAAGCCACACCCCTCTCAGAGCACCAGCATAAATGCAAAGAGAGCAACAGAAATGAGCAGCTGAAGAGCAAAATGAAGAAGGGGAAAATAAACGGTAGATGCAGCTGGATCCTAAAAGAAGGAGCGGATGACAAGACTGTGAACGGATGAGCGACGGGGAGGACTGAAGACAGCGGCTGGATTTTTGTCAAACTAGCTGATGATTATACAGATACATTAGAAGAAACTAGTGATAAACCGATATATTAGGCCAAATAAACGGCCAATTCTGACATGATCAGCAACACCTGATAACTTTGCCAGAAATGGCCTTCAGACCAACTGGTTTCCATTTTTTTATATTTTAAAATAAATACATAATTGAGTGAATCTCACAAAAACAAGACATGTTCGAGTCAAATTCATAAAAAAAATAAAAAATAAAAAAAAATAAAAAAATAAGATTATGATACTATAAAAAAAATGAGAAAAAAATATAATTTATTCTTTTATTTTTTATCCTAAAAAAAGGAAGTTTTTGTAAATAAAACAAAGATACATTTATAAGAAAAACACGACTGATTTACAAGAAAACAATATTTCAGTCTTTCTGCTTCACTTTTTGAATTTCATAAAAAAAATTAAAAAATGCAGTTTTTAAAATTTCATTTTTAAAATTTTTTTTTAAATTTACCAGCAATTTCCGAGGGAAAACTGCAATTTAAAAACGGAAAAAAAATCTAAATATTGAGAAAATCATCTTTAAAGTTGTCCAAATGAAGTTCTTAGCAATGCATATTACTAATCAAAAATTAAGTTTTGATATATTTACGGTAGGAAATTTACAAAATATCTTCACGGAACATGATCTTTACTTAATATCCTAATGATTTTGGGCATAAAAGAAAAATCGATAATTTTGACCCAAACAATGTTTTTTTATTTTGACCCATACAATGTATTGTTGGCTATTGCTACAAATATACCCCAGCGACTTAACACTGCTTTTGTGCTGCAGGGTCACAAATATCCTTGAAATATGACCTGACCATGTTTGCGTGAGATTCACTGAATTTTCAGCCACACATGCATCATATCAGCCTCCAGTTTTCCAGATTTCCGTGGTTTAAAGCAGATATCGGTTGAGCACTAGAAGAAATAAAAGAGTAAAGTAAGAAAGAGGAGGCGGCGAGCGAGAGGTTCCTGTCCCACTTACTCTTCACCCCTTTCTTGCCCTTGCGCTCCTTCTTGTACTGTTCCTTGAGTTTAGAGATCAGACCCTCATCCACGTCCCAGGACTCAGACGAGGGGCTCTGCTCTTGCTTTTCTACACGGAGGAGGGAGGAAGACACGTTACACGCCTGACTCGGATGCGATCAGAGCTTCACACGACTCGCACTCAACATGAACGACATGGAGATCAGGCCTAATCGCACAGAAACGGTTTAAAGTCACTTCAGCTTTTACAGCTGCTCGTTGCTGATTTTATTGCCATCTAAATCAGAATTCCAGCTGTTTTCTACCTCAATCCAGGAAAAAAACAGATGATAAACACTGCTATACAGAAATACAATTTTGGTATATATATTATAAAATTATGCAAAACAAAGACTGTGAGCTTACAGGAAAAAAATCAAGTCTAATTGGGTAAGCAGTTAAAAAGGGCCAAAATAATAGTGAAAAAAAATACTAAAATGTATGTGCCAAGTATACTACATTTACATGTGCTTAATAAAAACACCCTGCAATTGTACTTTTGGTTTACTACACTGCTAAACTAACTAATTTTGTGCTTAATGCACTGCTGATGTCCAACTAAAGCTATACTGAAGGATATTTGCTTGTGCTAAAGTGGAAATATTGCAGGAACACTTTAAATATCTTGCATTTAAAGATTGATATTATACAGAGATTATACAATACTTATTAATAGTGATATTAAAACACATTTTAGGCATAATATTAACAAAAATGTACATTGTGCACAAGTAGTACTCCAGATAAAGTTTAATTATAATTTTATGTCAGTAAGTCTTAAGTGATATGTCAATAAATATATTAAAGGATTTGAAGTATACGTAGTATGAAATAAATGTATTTTAAATAAAGTGTTGAACTGAGAGACGCAATTTCTCCGAGGAATAAAATAATAATTATATTTACATTTTAATATTTCAAAAAAATTATTTAAAAAGATTTAAAAAGCTTAAACTTAATTTCCTTAATTAATTTCTTATAAAATATATTACTTATAAATTATTATTTTAAGCTAGTTCAGCCACAACATTTGTCATTTTGACCTATATAGGCATACTAAAAAAACAAAAACAAATAAAAAATTCCAAAAACAAAACAAAATTACAAAAATTTAAAAAAAAAATTCCAAAAACAAAACAAAATTACAAAAATTAAAAAAAAAAAAAAAAAAAAAAAAAAAAAAAAAAAAATTCCAAGGAAAATATCAAATATAAAAATAAAAAACTAAATACTAAAATAAGACAGATCGGCACAACCATACGCATCTTTAATTTTGACACTACCACTTAAAAGTTTGGGGTAACTTGAAATCAATTTGCACGGACCGAAAGTCACGCAGAGAACACGCGATCATGCAGGTCACACTTCACAAGATCTCACAACTGTATTCGACTAATTTTGCAAGGTTTGTGAAATAAAATTTTTATTAGCCATTCAAAGACTTGTTTAAATGATATAAATGCGTATTTGCTGAATGCTGACGGCAAATGAGAAAGTATTATAATGTTTGCCTTTCTATTACTAATAATATAAAAGCAAGCGTTATAATACTTTTTGTATACATTTTAATTCCTTTGTTTAACAGTTCTATCAGATTATTAGACAGACTTCTATCCAGAACTACGACGACGGCGAACAAGAGGGAGAATGTGAGCACTGTGCTCAGGCGCTGCCGCTCTCAGCGCCGTCAAAATAAAAGTCCGGCACGCCGTCAAAATAAACGTCTGGCACGCCATCAAAATAAAAGTCTGGCACGGCGTCAAAATAAAATTCTGGAACGCCGTCAAAATAAAAGTCCGGCACGCCGTCAAAATAAACGTCTGGCACGCCATCAAAATAAAAGTCTGGCACGGCGTCAAAATAAAATTCTGGAACGCCGTCAAAATAAAAGTCCGGCACGCCGTCAAAATAAACGTCTGGCACGCCATCAAAATAAAAGTCCGGCACGGCGTCAAACTAAAAGTCTGGAACGCCGTCAAAATAAAAGTCTGGCACGCCTTCAAAATAAAAGTCTGGAACGCCGTCAAAATAAAAGTCTGGAACGCCGTCAAAATAAAAGTCCCGCCTTGAACGCATCGGCCAAATAGAAAAACTTATCGGCTAATGCCGATATTTGAAAAATGCCAAATATCGGCCGATATATCGGCCATGGCGATATATCGGTTGACCACTATTCTGCATGATCACAAACCCCTATACTGCTGCGTCTCTGCCTGTTTGTCAGTATAATCGAAGCTCTAAGCATCTATTTCCGCATCTGCTGTTGTGTTTAGCTGTAAGAGCTGACTCTCACCCCAGTCGGCTCGCTCTCCGGAGGACGGCGCCTCAGACGGACCCTCCATGTCCTCACTATTGGCCAGGAAGTCAAAGTCCTTCAGAACCTCCTCCGTGTCCAAGTCGTCGCTCATGTCAGCTGAGGAAGAGGAGGGAGACGGAGACACCTTCCTCCTCACCATCTACAACAGGAAGAGGAAGTGTGAGCGAGGGCAGCTGGTGTAACTGACATGTTCTGAAGCTCAATGTTTGTGAGAGGCGTGTGAACGGGTGCGAGCGCTAACTCACGGTGGAGAGGTCCACGATGGTCTTGTTCTGTCCCTCGCTGTCTTCATCGTCGTCTTCATCGCTGAACTCTGCGGCAGCTTTCTCGATGAACTTGAAGGCTTCCAGCACCGTGGTGGACTCCGTCATCTCCGCTTTACTGCGGGTCCAATCCGCAAACATACAGAGTTCAGATAGAGAGAAAGAAGACCAGTCATCATTCATCATGCTCGCATTTCACAGACACACAATCTAGTAATGCAAGTAGAGTGGAGAAAAAAAGTGGAGGACAACAAATAAATAAAGGCTGATGTATCTTTAGTGAGTTAAACAAACAAACAAATAAATAAATAGAGGCAGATATATCTTCTGGTAGTTAAATAAATAAATAAATTATAATATTGGCCGTCAGTGACTTAAATAAATAAAGCTAATATGTGCCGATATAACTTCAGGGAGTTAAATAAACAAACAAACAAACTAATAAATAGTTGATATATCTTCAGTAAGTTAAATAAATAAATTAATGAAATCTAATCAAGGTTGATATATTTTCAGTTAGTAAAATAAATAAATAAATCGAGGCAGATATATATTATGGTAGATAAATAAATATAATAAATATTAGCCAACAGTGAGTTAAATATATAAATAAAGCTAATATGGGCCGATATATCTTCAGGGAGTTAAATAAAATAAAATAAAATAAAATAAATAAATGTTGCTATATCTTCAGTAAGTAAAATAAATGAATAAATAAATAAATAAATAAAGCTAATATGGTCCGATATATCTTCAGGGAGTAAAATAAATAAATAAATAAAGCTAACAGATGCTGATATATCTTCAGGGAGTTAATAAAATAAAATAAAATAAAAATAGAGGTAATAGAAGATGATATATTTTTAGGGAAATAAAAAAATAATAAATAAAATAAAATGTAATAGTGGCTGATATATCTGTATGGAGTTAATAAAATAAAATAAAAATAGAAGTAATAGTGGCTGATATATCTTTAGGGAAAAAAAAATAAATAAAATAAAATAAAATGTAATAGAGGCTAATATATCTTTATGGAGTTAATAAAATAAAATAAAATAAAATAAAAATAGAAGTAATAGTGGCTGATATATCTTTAGGGGGAAAAAAAATAAATAAAATAAAATAAAAGGTAATAGAGGCTGATATGTCTTTAGGGAGTTAAATAAAATAAAATATTGCTAATATGGGCTGATCTAAGGTCAGTGATTGAAATAAATAAATAAGCTAATATTGCCAGCTCCATCACTGACCCGATCATGGTGGTGGTGCTGTCCTTCAGCGAGGCCGGCTCGGTCCCGTTCACCATGGGCTCGGTGCGCTTGTCTCCGGGTCTCTCTCCGCTGTCTCCAGCCAGACCGAGCAGCGCTTTGACCCGCTGAGACTTCACATCCAGGATGGTGTCGGTGTAGCCCACCTCCTGCAGGTACCTGAGCGCGACACCACAAACCTGACTTATCCAAACGCTTTAGAGTGCACATTAACTTAAGCACTTCCAGTTTACATTAAAGCACGGAGTTAATATTTATACAAATTCATAACCAAGCAACTGCAACCGTGACACTCATGATCTCAGCTGCATGGCTGCCACAAAAATAAAATAAAGAAATATAAAGAACATTTCACCCTAAAATCAAATAATAAGAACAAGATATTCTAGAACAGAAACTATATTGAACAGAACCATTACAATATCTTGCATGGTGTGCGGATGTATTACTGTAATCAGAATTTTAGGGAAAATGTGTTCAATTATCATGAAAATGATGTTACAATAATACTAAAAAACGTATTATAGGTCCTAAAATAGGCTTCACTTTCTATAAGCAAAACATAATTTCTTGTTTTATTCTTTTAATTCTAGTTTTATTATTTCACTAATATATTTATTTTGTTTCCATTTTCATTTTAATTTTAGTTAATGTTTTAGTCATTTTAGCATCATTGATATACTATTGATATTTTGAATTAGTTTCTATTTTTATACATTTTTGGTTTCATTTTAATTTTATTTAAGGTTTTAATAATTTTTGTATCATTGATACACTATTATAGTTTTTATTCATATTTTGAATTAGTTTCTATTTTTGGTTTCATTTTAATTTTATTTCAAGTTTTTGTAATTTTGTTGTGTTTTTGTCATTTGTAATAAAAAAAAAATGCCTCTAAAGTTTCTATTTATTTTGATATTAGTTTTAATTTTAGTTATTTTATTACTTCAATTAAAATTTTTAAAAATATTTTATTTCAGCTAATGTTTATTTAAAATTTTAGTGAGTTTTAGTTTTAAAGATTTAATAATTTTGTTGTGTCTTTTAAAAAAAATGTCTACAGTTTTTATTCATTTTTATGTTAGTTTTAATTTGAGATATTTTAGTACTTCAAATATAATTTCTTATTTAATATTTCATTTCAGTAAACGTTTATTTGAATTATTTTTTTTAAGGTTCGAGTTTTAGTTTTAGTTAAACATGATAACCTTGAAACAGAAGCATGACAGGTTAAGCAAACAACTTTACAAAGCCATTTCTGAGAGGATCGAATGCAGTTTCTCCAGGTTTATCATTCTCTGGGACGATCGACACGCGGTTAAAGTCAAACCCCAGCGGTGAGAGAGAAGCGTCTATCAGTACAGTCAGTGTATGGATCACGTACCTTCAGTTAACCCGACACACACACACACACACACACACACACACACACACACCGCCCCTGACCTAAGCGAGCTGATGGGAGGAGATTACTTATTATTAATACTTTCTCATTTCAGGATGTGTTTGTGTTACCAGTTCAGTCATGTCAGTGTGTGTGTGTGTGTGTGTGTGTGTGTGTTATTGAGCCATTGAGTATTATAGTCACACAGGTGCTCAGGTGTG